AGCTAATAAAAGTAATTAATATGTTAACTGGTACGTGAGTAAGTGTCAAATAAAAGTTTTGTTATTCATCCATCCTTTTCAAATTATAAAGTAAAAAAAGAAAAATACATCTCATCAACATATTTAAAACTTATATTTTTAACACAAAAATTTATTATACAAAAATGATAATAATAAATCATTCAGTTATTTTGTTGTCAATTTTTTTGAAAATCATCTATTCTTCTATTCTTCCGAAATTTTATACCAAATATTTCATCAATTACGATAAAAGACCTACCAACCGAATAATTTAATGAAAAAAAATTATGTTTATTTTTCGTTAGAAAATATATTTTTTTTCAAGTGATCCGGTGGTATTTTTTTCGCACTTTGTACGCTCAAAATTAGGTCGGAAGATGTTAGAAAATAAAATTTCAATTATTTATTTTACACCCTGGAAAAAGAAAAAAAAATAACAAAATTGTCCTCATTAGGTTTTTAAATATTTAATTCATGGTATTTTGCAATGATTTATTGTCTTATAAGGGTGCAAAATGTTATTAAATTGTTTCAAGGGTGCAAAGTGGTAAAGCTCTATATTTCAAGGGTGCATAGTGGAATTTAAAATATTAAAATAGCCTCTTGTTACTTTTGGCCGATAAATTGATAATACGCCACCGTTTTACGATTAAATCGGCCGAAAATAATTCTGAAAAGAAAAAGGAGTTTGCTTACTTGGGCTATCCTATCTTTATATATATTTATGTCAATGTTTCATTATTTTGGCCCAACCCATTTATTTCATACGTTTTATTTAATGGAAATTACATTCAAACTGAAACTTCACGGAAAAAAAAGGGTAAATTATAACCACCCCTTAAGGTAAGGATAAATTACGAAAAAATCTCTTATGTTTGGGTAATTACAACCACCTCTCAATTATTAATCTTTTTACACGTCCACCTTTGCGGTGTTAAATTTAATGGAATCTTCTAGATTATATGTAATATTCTCAATTTTGTACCTGTTTTACCCCATTCGAACTCCACATTTTGAAACAGGATGATCTTAAGATGTGTTTTCTCGCTTGTATATATCAGATTATGATGCATCAGGAACTGCATTTTTTAACAAAACAAGTACAAACTAGAGAACATTCCACGGAATCTAGAAGATTATGTTGAATTTGACACCATGAGGGTGGATGTGTAAGATGATTCATAGTTGAGGAGAGTAGTTGTAATTATCCAAACATGAAGAGTACGATTTTTTCGTAATTTGACCATACCTCGGATGTATTTGTAATTTACCCAAAAAAAAATAAACACAATCAAACGAATGAACGAATACAACATATTAAAGCAGGAGCTTATCAGAGATTGGTCAGCACGATCAGAGCACCGTACTGTGGGTGAACGCTGATGGCAGCAATCGGCGCATGAGTGTACGCCGGCGAGAGCTCGAGAGAGAATTTCCTGAGCAGCGTCGCCAGAAAAGCTTTCGTCTCCAGCAGCAAGAAAGTTTATTCCAATGCCGGAGAGAGAGAGAGAGACAGGGCAAGCGCTATATTTCTTTATGGTGTGGAGAATATATGTTTGGCATGATATATACGAGGGGTAATATCGTCATTAATGCCTGTCGATTTGGAGTATGCTTCCTCGTACATAAGACCAAAAAAACAGAAAGGGCAACACTGGAATGATCGCAAATTTCCACATTCTCTCTTTCTCTTTCTACTAGTTTGAAATTAGTAGTTTTACGGTTTTACTCAACAACTATATAACCAAATTGACTGCAACGCCATTAATTAAATTTTGGGTAAATTACAAACACCCCCCTGAGGTATGGTCAAATTACAAAAATCCCCCTCTTATTTGGATAATTACATCTACCCATCAACTATGATTTTTTCTTACACCTCCACCCTTATTGTGCCAAATTCAACATAATCATCTAGATTCCGTGGAATGTGCTCTAATTTGTACTCGTTTTGTGTAAAAATACAGTTTCCTATGCACCACAAACTAATATATACAAGCTAAAAATCACATATTATGATCAACTTGCTTCATAATGTAGAGTTTGAATGGGATAAAACAGGTACACAAGTGATAATATTCCATATAATCTCGAAGAATCCACTAAATTTGAGGAGTTGAGGGGGTGGTTGTAATTATCCAAACAAGAGGGGTGTTTTTGTAATTTGACCATACCTCAGGGGGTGTTTGTAATTTACCCTTAAATTTTAGATAGCAGAAACCAATGTCACCGTCAAATCATGTCCCAATGAAAAAAAAAAAGATTTTAGAAGACTTTCAAAAATAAACTGACATATATATATATATATATGTTACACACGATTTTATCAAGAATCGATAATTTTAATGAACGATTTACTTGCAATATTTCTTGAACCATAATCCGATGTTAAGGAAGCTTTCGAAGTCGGACTGTGGCCTGCAAGAAAAGAAAGAGAAAAAAAACGTTTTTCAGACACTCCAAAATCGTGGAAGGTTCGAACATTTTATGAAGATATTTTCTTACGTACCTATCGATGCCATGTACATCGTTGGGGAATACAATCACCTTATTTTCCACTCCTTTCTCCTTCAAAGCTCGTGCATACTTCAAACGAAAAAACGAGAGCAATTATTAGATAATAAAATTTAAGGGCAAATTACGGCTATCCCTGAGTCATGGTCAAATTACAAAAAACCCTCTCGTTGGGTAATTACAGCCACCCCTCAACAATGCATTATCTTACGAAAATACCCTCCCAGAGGTAAATTTAGGGATGTTAAATCGGCAAAACCCGAACCGAAATTCGGTAAGCCAACACTTCATACCGTTTACCAAACTGAATATATGACTTGGTTCGGTAAATAATTGAATTACATAAATTTTATGTAAAAATATTTAAAAAGAAGGGTGGCTGTAATTACCCAAACAAGAGGGGGGTTTCGTAATTTGGTCATACCTTAGAGGGTGGCCGTAATTTGCCCTAACATTATCAATTACTCCTCCCTTCGTTCCATATTATTTGTCGCTTTAGAGATTCTTTTTTAGGTTCAATATTATATGCCGTTTTAAACTTCTAATAAACAATAAAGGTTATTTTAGTCTTTTTCATCCGTCTTTTCTAAAATCTAACCATATTTAATAACTTTGTTAATGTGTGCAAAAACCTTAAACGACAGTTATTTTTTAACAAAGGAAGTTTGCAATTTATCGAAGAGCGATGCTATGTTTGTTAGGACAAAAAAAGGTGAATTAGACAACAAAATCGACCGTGTAAAAATATACAAACGCACTTCACATCGATATATGTATGTGGTAAAATTGCAGCATAGGCTTACTTGTATTCCATTAGAAACCGGTACGCGTAGATCCTTAGCACCGAGAAGAAATAGCGTGGGAGTTTTAACCTATAGATAACAAATAAACAATTTAAAAAAAAAAAAACGAACGAACGAACGAACGATTGAATATTTCTACTAGCTTTCTTCAATTTAATTCGAAATTTCAAGAAAATCAAACCTTTGAAATGTGATAAATCGGAGATTTGCTGTAAAGCAGAGCAAGTTGTTCGTCCGAAGGTGCTTCAGTATACATTGATTTTCCCTCGATTCCATACGCCTCAAAATAGCACCAATCGGGAATATCCGATGTGCCGACCATCAAAGCAAGGTTGCACACCGGATTCCTAGCTGCTGCTGCAACAAATTTCTCCGGTGCCTAAAGAAAAAATAAATTAAAAAATTGAACCAAATTTAAAAATCAGAAAATCAAATTAGTTTATTATTATTGAGAAAAAGTTTTATACGGAAAAAAAAAAAAAAGTAGGAAATGCTTCTTTGACCTGACCAATCAAGTGCGTGGTCAAAAATCCACCGTGGGACCCACCAAGAACGGCTATTTTAGATGGATCCGCTAGTCCCTTGTCAATTGCGTGATCTATAGCGGCGAGTACATCGTTTACGTCCTGAATAAACATCAACCAAGTTTTATTTAATATGCTATTACTAATTTTAAACTTTTTTTTTACGTGCAAAGAATGAACAATGCTGAAATAAATGAAGTACCTGAGAGCCCACTTTCCCGGGAAGAGACTGCAGTGCTTCCTCACCAAACCCTAGAGAACCTCTGTAGAATGCACTCGAATTAGGCCTCGTTTGGTTGATAAGATAATCAATGATTAATTAAATAAATTAGATTGGTTAGCCTGCAATTATGTGAATACGAGGTCTTATTGCATGATTATTGGACCTCCCTTTGTACAATTATACAATATCCTAGGGCCTTGTTTGGTTCCTAAGATAAAGATTAAATAATCTAATCATAACCCAATTGTATTATTGGACCATGGTCACGATACAATAATATTTCTGGGTCGACCCGGAAAAAAAATACCGAGTTTACTAAACATCAAACAAAGTCCAGCTATTTATTAACCTCCCCAACCAAACGAGCCTTAGTACAAGTATACAATTGGGTTCTCGTAAAATTGCATAATCTTATCTTGGTTAATCTTATTTTGGGAACCAAACAAGGCCTTGGAGTATTCTTGAGTAGCAAATAACCTTTTTTTTTCGTCTTTCATTAATATAAACATTCATATTTGAACACGGTGCTATCTCGATTTTCAATTATTTCAATTGCAAGCACTTTTTAGAAGGTCCGTAACTTGAAATTATATCGATAATCTATTTTAAAAAAAATAAAAAAAAGGGAGTAATATTCAACGGCGTACCTATAATTCACAATAAGCAAACTAAAACCGAGCGAGGAAAGAAAAGCATGGGACTTTGAGAAGCTTGATAATGAAACGGTGTGAGGACCTCCGTGAAGAATTACTATTAACGGATCGAGCAATTTAGGATCACTAGACTTTGACGACACGTATATAGCTTCAAATGGTTTGCTTGCACCTTGTACAAATTAAAAGATAAAAGAGACGATTAAATAAATAAATAAATAAAATAAAATAAAATATGAAAAATTATCTCGTTTAAGCACCTTTGGTAAGATTCTCAACGATGTCCTTGACGGGAATCTTCAAGATATCAAATTGTAGTGAAGCCAACAAAGACAAACACTGCGATAAAAAAATATAATATTCAATAAAATTAGTAGCTACTAACTAATTAGTTAGTAAGTCAATACATAAATCATAATTAATTCATCCCTCAAGTTTGCATCGATTTCACATTTGGTCCTCAGGTTCACAAAAAACACATTTGGTCCCTCATGTTTCAGTAATTTAACACTTTTGGTCCTTTCCGTCAATTTACCATTAGTCTGTCAGCTAAGCAAGTCAAGGAACACGCTTGATTCCCGTTAGTTTTAACGGAAAATTGCCGGACGTGACTAAAAGTGTTGAATTTTTGAAAAACAAGAGACCAGATGTGTTTTTTGTGAACATGGGGGACCAAATGTGAAATCCGTGCAAACTTGAGGGACGAAAATTGTATTTTTCCCCATAATTAATATAATCGAACCTAATTTAATAAGATAGGCAAAACAAAGAAAAAATCGAGGTACCTTGTCCGAGCATTTGGTTGTGGGGCATAAAACATCGAGCCAATTCCATTTGGCATCTCCGGATATTTTCCCGACGAGGCTACCGTACTTGATTTCGGGAATACTTACAGGGCTACTACATACTATTAAAAAAAATCAAAATAAAAAATCATTTTAGATGGTAAAATAATAAATATAAGTACGGATAAATGCAATTAAAAAGAACGAGTTTTTGCTTCTACCAGCAATAATGTTGTCACTATCTAAATCAAGAACATCCCAAGACGAGTTTGAATTGTTCGGGCTGATTCTTGATACTTGTCCACTGCAAATCACGAGAGACGTAATTTATTTTAATTGCATAGTAGAGAGAGATTTCACTAGGTTATGTATAATTATACGGTAAATTACGGTCATCCACTGAGGTAAGGTGAAATTACGAAAAAATCACCTCATGTTGGGGTAATTACAACCACCCCACAACTATGAATCTTCTTACACGTCCACCCTTATGGTGTCAAATTCAACATAATCTTCTAGATTCCGTGGAATGTTCTCTAGTTTGTACTCGTTTTGTGCAAAAATGCAGTTTCTGATCCACTACAATCTGATATTTGCAAGCCAAGAAACACATCTTATGATCATCTTATTTCAAAATATGGAGCTCGAATGGGGTAAAACGGGAACAAACAGAAGAATATTCCACATCATCTTGAAGATTCCACTAGATTTGACACAGCAAGGATGAACTTGTAAGAAGATTCATAGTTGAGGAAGTGGTTGTAATTACCCAAACAAGGGGGATTTTTTTCGTAATTTGACCTTACCTCAGGGTGGCCGTAATTTACCCGGCATTTTAAGATAGTTATCCAAATTAAATTTTTGAATTTTACCTTGATACATTTACGGTAATTATAGCTGGAGCACTACCCCAATAAGACGATAAAACCATTGTTTCTCCGTCTGAAAGAAATGGCTTAGGAAGAAACTTCGAGCAATAAAGCCCCGGAAAAGAGCCTTCTTCAGGACACATCACTACTGGAACCTGAAATATATCGGAATAAATCGAACATAAAAAAATAAATCAAGATATTTAAATCCTTAGTAGTTATTTAAATCCAAAAAAAAAAAAAGAGCATACCACATCAACGATCTTCGAGGATGGGCCTACTTTTCCATTGGAGGGCCACTCAATTTTATGAAGTGAATCTGTTGCTGAATGTGCTCCAGAATCGACAGAACTTTTTGCAGACAAAAATACGAGGAATTTCCCATCTGGGCTGAAGATAGAGAAAGCAAGTATGATGAAACTCATGCATTTAGTTAACTTTTTATTGGGTAAATTACGAAAACCCCCTGAACTTAGGTTAAATAACGAAAAACACCCCCACCTATCCGTAACAACCAAAATCCCCCTCTGATTAACTGTTGATCGAGTTGTTTATCAGAAAATCAGTCTATTATACCTTCTTTTAAATAGGTGAGAAATAAAAGAAAATATCGAAATTGTGTAAAGTCTATTCCCTGGAATCAAAAAAAATCCCGTGAAAAGTCACACTGACAGGGTTGGTGTAAGACGAAAACAAACTTCAGGGGTTTTTGGTAATTACGAATAGGTGGGGGTATTTTCCGTTATTTAGCCTAAGTTCAGGGGGTTTTCGTAATTTACCCTTTTTTATTTCATACATGAATATATCGCATTAAGTACCCACACGTTATATCGAATTGCCAAAAACCTCCTCGTGTTATAAATATTAGCAAAAAAAACCCAAGATTCATTTTTGTAGCACACGACCCCCTAAATGATGAGTTTCAACGGGGGGGGGGTAGTTTGCGAAAATAGGAGAATTTTTTTTGCTAATCTTTGTAGCACGAGGAGTTTTTTAACAATTAGAGTAAACACGAGGGTGTTAAATGCAATAAACCCTTTTAAAAATATATAAGTAAATAGTTTATGAGTTTATGATAATTGAGCATTCACAATGACCAATTCGAATTCGGACGATTTAATTCATCTACGAGCGAACATTCCTACGTACCTGAAACGTGGAAAGAATGCACTGCTTATGCTCGGGGTCAAATTAACCGCGACAGAATCTTCAGCTGCATTACTTTCGAGCGTAAAAGAAGAAAAAAAAAAATCATTTTCATATATTCATCATAATTTTAAAAAATAAATAAATAAACAAGCATTTCGTACCGGTTTATACCAGCTCCTGATTCGAAGGATGGCGCATTGACTGCATACAAAGCACAGGGCCTATTATAGCAATACTTGATACCTAATTTCCGATTATTCGAAGGCCACCCAATGAAAACGAGGTAGTGCCTGCCTTCGACCGGTGGGGCCCACGCCACCTGTCCGACGCTCAATTCTCTTTCCACTCCCGTGACAGCAAGAACCTCGCCACTACAACAAACGCGTGTGCCTCATTATTACATATATATATATATATATATATATATATATATATGTGTGTGTGTGTGTGTACCTGTGAATGTCCATAACGAAAAGAGCTGGCTGTTTTTTACTGGCGTAAGTCTCTCCCCAATCCTCTTCCCAATCACCTTGACCTTTCCAACTACCACAATCTTTGTCCGAATTACCGTCTTTTTTGTAACCGAAAACATTAAATGTAGGTTTAGGAGAATCGGGTTCCTCCGCAACATAAGCTATGGAAGTTTCGTCTGAGTTCCAAGAAATACCCTCGAACCTGCCGCCCGGAAGATTATGTTAAAAGTAGTAAGAACAGAAAATAAAAAGTATAAGTAATTTTAATAAACAAAATTGAACGCTCGATCGTTCGTATCTGAAGGATGTTTAGGCTCTGTTTGGTTCATTGAGAAAAATGAAAATGAAATTTCTAGTATTTGGTTCCTAAGGAAAATGGTGTGACGAAACTCGATTTTGTGGAAAATCATTTTATTCGCCCAAACAAAAGTGTTTAAGAGAAAGTGTATATTTACCATCCATCTGAATAAACCGATCCATGTATAGTACGAGGAATCGAAAACTCCTTCTTAACCGAAGACGGGCCCCATATTTCAAAATGGGTCGGACCGTCACCTTCCGGGTTTCGAATAACGAGAAGCTTCAATCCCGACGGAGAGGGAACCATGGTGGTGACACCTGTCATCTCGATAGGGAACGGGGCCCACTGAAAACTTACAGAGTCGTTACTCTTCCGTAAAATATGACTGGATAATACGGATTTCCTCTTCTTGTTTGATAAAAGGCTAGGTTGTCCAATTACAAACATCGCATGAGAAGCGTCATCTGTGGAAATTAGTAAAACGAACGAATCAGAAGGGAATAATTTTTGGTGAACGGAAAAAAAAAAAGAAAAAAACCGTGAATGATGAATACCGTCGTCGGATTTAAAAGTCCATGCTTTATCGATGGTGGGAATATCTGTGAATTCTTGGAGAAGTTTGGACAGAGAAGAATATTCTTCTTGAGTAGCTGCGTCTACACTCGACGGTGTTTCTTTTGTGGGAATTCCTCCGGCATTATCCATGGCCGATGCAACCGATAAACTTCTAAATTCAAATGAGAAAAAGAAAACAAACATTATTCGACGTGTATGTTGGAATACGAATCGGACTAAATCTTGAATTCGCCACTGGAAACAGTTTTAAGAATCATCATTTCAAGAGTAATTTATTTTCAAATTAAAACCCCGTAAAAGCAAACATGTACGAAAACTCACACAAGAGTGCAAAATCAACACAAAGAATCAATCTTGATTTATTTATTTATTTTGGTAAATTACGGCCACACCCTGAGATAAGGTCAAATTACGGAAGGAAAAAAAACGCCTTTATATTTGGGTAATTACAAACACTTCCCTCAACTATGAATCTTCTTACACGTACATCATTGTGTAGTGGAATCTTCTAGATTATGTGGAATATTCTCCAGTTTGTACCTGTTTTACCTTATTCGAGCTCAACGTTTTAAAACAAGATAATCATAAGATGTATCTCTTGGTTTGTCAAAATCAGATTACGGTAAGATCTGCGGTAAATCAGAAACTGCATTTTTGCACAAAACGAATACAAACTAGAAAATATTCCACGCAATCTAGAAAAAGTCTGTTGAATTTGAGTGGACGCGTAAGAAGATTCATAGTTGAGGGGTGGTTGTAATTACCCAAACATGGGTGGTTTTTTCGTAATTTGATCTTAACTAATTTACCCTTTTTTTTTTGTAATTCCCATTTTACCCCCTTGTACTCCAAGGATTGTCCCGATGCAACCCGTCCATTAATTCCAATCGGATTTTTCTATCCAAGCACATTAGCTTGCAAATAAAATGGTTATCTCCGCAAATAACCATTTTATTGTTTTCACTTATTAATCAAAATAAGCAACAAAAGCTTCCAAATTCCAATTAAGCAATAAAACCCAATTCAATTACAACAAAAAATAGCAGAAGGCACACACAATCATGCAATAATAATACGAACAAGAAAGCCCACATAACTCGTACATTCAATAACACTCTAATTTATGTTTTCATGCAATAATCAATAAAAACGATGAGAGAGAGAGAACCTGGAGGAGAGAGAGAAGAAGGGTCTGGGCGAAAAGAATGGTTTTCTCTTGGGGAGGAGAGAGAGTGAAGAGAGAGAAGAAGTGAAGATGGAGAGTGACCGAGTTGTGAATGTTGTAGTGGTGAAATTGAGTAGACTCAGATTCATCATAACCAAGAATCAAGATTTTTTTTTTTTTTCATCGGCTAAAGTCCAAATAAATAACTTCGGCCCATGATTAAATTAATTAAAGAATACTAATAATTAATTGCATTAGTAAATTATTAAATACAAATTGCAACCCTGTACTATTACGAATGTCGCATATACACTCCTATACTATAAAATGTGACAAAGTGGCCCCTCAACTTAACTGTCAACCCTCAAAAAATCTTTAACACTGTTAGTTTATGTACTATAGTTATCTTTTGACACTTACATTTATATGATATAAATAGACATTTTTTGACTTTATTACTTGGTGAATTTTTTTTTACTCTATTACGGATCGACAAGTGATTTTAGAAAAATGTCATGTGGTGTTTAGACGTAGAAAAATAAAATGCATGAATTTTGAGAATTAACACTACGAGAAGCATTGTAAATCAAGAGTTTTGGGATGACAACAAAATTATAAATTTTCAGAATTTTAAAAAGAATTTATAAATATTATCTAGAATAAAAGAAATTCATAATTGGGTATTTTTAGGATGGTAACGAAATTGCAAAAATTCATAAATTTGAAGAAATTATAAATAATTTTCAGAATATAATTTTTTTTTTTCAGAAAATTTAGGTGAAATTTTTAGGTTGTGGAAAATAAAACTAGGAAAGAAACATTAAAAAAATGGAGTAATTTGAGTACAAGAGATAAAGAAAGAGGTACACCTTTTATACACAACCATATGGGTATTTTCGTGCGGAATTGTCCAATATCCGGTGCAATGGTCGGTCAATTTAGAAAAAAAAATGACAGATTCTTTAACATGACTTAACGGTAGGGCCCACTTTGTCGCATTTTGTAATACAGTGGTATATGCGACACTGGTAATAGTATAGGAGTGAAATCTGTATTTAACTTTTAATTAATTGCGCTTATAGCCATAAATCGAGCCAAGAATATTTTAACGAAATTAGCTTACCGGTTGAGGCCCGAGCTGCCTATATCAGTGATAAGTTGGGGGTTGCTACTTTTTGTCCATGAGTTCATGTTACTGTTGGTTTGGATTCGAAATAATGTGGATATTGCACTTCTACCCCTGCCTGGGGCGTTTTCTGCAATTTCAGGAATTGGTGTTCGGGGCTTTCTAGCAAATTCTGGAAGTGGCGCTGGATTTCTTTGGGGGGGGGGGGCTGCATGTTCTGCGTATTATCATATTCACCCCGCCTGGGGCGTTTTCTGCAATTTCAGGAATTGGTGCTGGGGGCTTTCTTGCAAATTCTGGAAGTGGCGCTGGATTTCTACAGAAGGGCCTGCATGTTCTGCGTATTATCAAATTCACCCCCGCCTGGGGTCCCTTCTGTAATTTTGAAACTTGGCTCTTTTAGTTTCTATAGTTTTAGAATTTTTATTTATTGCGTTTTTAGCCCTCCTTTTGGGCGTCTTTGTAATAGATTGTATAGAATGCTCCTTATCCCGTTTTTATTCCTTTGATTTTGGGGTATTCTTTTTATTATATGGACCCACAAGGTTTTTAACGAGACCCCTTATACTTTCATATGTATTTAATGGAATCAAAAAAATTGGCCAAAAAAAAACACTTAATTAATTGAGGAAGATTTTTGAAGTATTATTGTGAATACATAGATTGCATTGGGGGGGAAAATTACAGTTTATGTCCCTATACTTTACCACTAAAATGATTTATGTCCTCAAACTTTGTCATCCACGAAATATGTCCTCAAACTTGCCACTTTTTAACAATTTATGTTCTGCCGTCAACTCCGTCAGTCAATTTGGACAGAAATATCACGTGTGGCGCACGTTATGTAGATATGGTCGTTAAATGCCGATATGGCAGATACACTGAGATGGTGTGGCAAAAAATGACATGGAATGACATGTGGCTCTTTTCCTCTATTTCAATTTTAAAATTCTCAATTTCTCATTCTCCCTATTTCATTGAATCGAATGCATAAACCCTACCTCCTAAATCCCTCGTACGAAGCATCGAATTGAGGTGAAATTCCAAAACAACAAGATTGCCCAACCATTATTTCGCAAATTTCTCGAACATCAAAATAGAACAACAATTATTGATTTTGGCAAGTTTCTTCAAAGTTGATATCTTTGAACTTAATTTTGGGAATTTGAGATGTGGTAGTTTCGATTTCAATCAAATTGTATGTTGTAGTGTAGAATATGAGTAGAATTTGGGGGTTAGGGTTTCATGCATTCAGTTCAATGAAATAGGGGAATGAGAAATTGGGGATTTCAATGACAAATTGGGAATTTTAAAATTAAAATAGAGGGAGAGAACCAAATGTCACTCCACGTCATTTTTTCGGCCACATCATCTCGGGGTGTCAACCAGATCGGCATTTAACAGCCAGATCGACATCACGTACGCCACACGTGATATTTCTGTCCAGGTTAACTGACGGAGTTGACGACAGAACATAAATTGTTAAGAAGTGGCAAGTTTGTGGACATATTTCGTGGATGACAAAGTTTGAGGACATAAATCATTTTTAGTGGTAAAGTATAGGGACATAAACTGTAATTTTCCCGCATTGAGGTGATTCGTGTTAGTTTAATATATCGTAGTTCTCAAATTTAAGTTTTTCGAATCAGACTCGATGGAAATAACAAAAACATCCATCTTTATTCACCTATAATATAGAATACATAATAATATTGATATTATAAGTACAATTTCCGAAAGAAAATATATTTTTTGTAATTATTTTTTGGAATAAAAATTGGATGGAAAGTCATAATCTAATAATATATATTATACAATGAAAATATCAAAGAGCCAAAAATTGAATTTTCAAATTTCTAAATGAAATATATTGTTTCAAATACAAAATTTTGTATCGAAATCGGCAAAACTTTGAAAAAAAAAATTAATCCAAATTTCACCCTTAGAAAATATTTGGGACTAAAAGTTTAATAAATCTAGTTCATGGGTGGAAAATGCCATTTTCCCAGAAAATGGATAAGGTGCAAAGCAGCTCCCCGTCGCTCATTTAATATTTCTCTAAAATCCTAAAGTCACTGCTAAGTGTACAAACTACAAGAAACAACCCAATCACAAGGCGAGGAAATCGACACGTGGCAAAATACGACTGGACGTTGACAGAATATTACCGTTACTCCCGTCACCCAACGTGTGTACCGTTCGAATAATAATAATAAACAAAAGCAAAAAACAGAGCAACGGGAACAAAAAAAAAATGGCGGCTTCATCAGCATTCTCAGTGCTCGCCACAAATTCAATCCCCAAAATTTCGTCCGCAGAAAAATCAGAATTACACGAAATCAAGAAAAGGGAATTTAGTAAGAGAAGCCCAAATCCGATTTTACTGAAAATCGGACCAAATTTAGGTCGAAATTGTTCGACGAGATTGTTTGCGAAGCTGACCCAAATAGAACCGGATCTCAACGAAGATCCGAAAGACAGATGGGCGACGAATGGAATCGACGTGGTAATTATTTTATTGAATTATTTAGGGTTTGTAGCTGTTTCAGAATTTCTACTCTGTTTGTTTTTTTTTTTTTTTTTTTTTTATGAATTTGTTGATTATTACAGGAAGATTATAAGTTTGGGAAGTACGATGATCATCATACATACTTTGAAAGTGATGAAAGAGGTAATCTTTTCCGCGTTTGGAAACTCGAGGACAAATACCGGACACCTCACGGGTCATTTTGCAATTTCTAAAAAGTTAGAATATGCTTGAATAGCAAATTTTCAAATATTTTTGTTGTTTCCCTAGTTATTTACACGATTTAATGACCAATTGCAAATTGATGGTTGATTGTAAAATTTATTTTGAATATGTCTGTATTAAAATATATAAATAAAAACTTATATATGTTTATATAACCATATTTATGAATATACCCCTATAATTTTAATATTTACACGTTTTCCTCAAGTTCCAGTATCTCCATTTTTGGGATATGCCGTTTCCCCGTATTACCATTTCCGTGTCTGTGCTACGTAGTATATATAAATCTGCTTATTTATTTATTTATTTATTTTTAATCTTGCATTTAGGATCATTTTGGGGATCAATTGCAGAAGATTACGCAGCAGTTGGACCTCCTACAGGATTTCAGGGTATCGAAAATCGAAAATTTTATATATTTTTTTATTCATTTATATGGTCGAATTTGATTCGATGAATGACATTTTAAAATAAAAATTAGAATTTCTGTTTTTTTCTTTTCCAAAAAATATAGAAGTAAAATGATTTTTGAAATTTCGACATTTTCGGGAAAAAAAATTAAAAAAGAAGAAGAAGAGAACCGTTTTTTCGTTTTCGATCTGATCCGTCCGATTTCCATCGAAAGATGTGGCTACGTGATTATTAATGTTTTTTCCATTATTTATTACTCAGGTCTCATTTCATGGCTCTTCCTTCCTACAGTTGCTGTAGCAATGTATTTCGACGCTCCGGTACGAAAATACCATACCCGAGATTTTACGCAACATTAAAATCTCAAAAACCCGAACAATTAGATTAAACCATTTTTTTTTTTTTGGATAAATCCTTATTTTGCACCTCAATTTGCAGGGAGAGTACTTATATATCGGTGCAGCAATATTTACGGTTATATTCTGCATAATCGAGATGGACAAGCCAAGTGAGCCACATAACTTCGAACCTCAGATATATAACATGGAGAGAGGGGCTCGCGACAAGTTGATCTCCGATTACAACACTATGGACATATGGGATTTCAATGAGAAATACGGAGAGTTGTGGGATTTCACAGTCAACAATGACGATATCGTAAAAACATAAAATATAAGGCAATCTGTATATGCTATGATCAGTAACAAAAAATCGAAATTTCGGAGAGCAAAAGGTACATATGAATCTTTTCTTTCTTTTTTTCATCCTATTTGTTTATCATAATTGCTTGATATTGTGTGAAAAAAATCCTATATTTCCTGATATATGTGTGTGTATACCGAAAGAAGAATTGAAGAGGGACAATATTCTTGCCGTTTCAGAATTTTTTTTTTTTCGAAATGTAACTAAATATACAAAGGGTAAATTACAATCATCCCCTCAACTATGAATCTTCTTACACGCCTATTTTTATGGTGTCAAATTCAACATAATCTTCTAGATTCCGTAGAATATTCTCTAGTCTGTACTCGTTCTGTGCAAAAATGCAGTTTCTGATGCACCACAATCTGATATTTACAAGCCAAGAGATACATTTTATGATCTTCTAGATTTCGTGAAATATTCTCTAGTTTGTACTCGTTTTGTGCAAAAATACAGTTTCTGATGCACCACAATCTGATATTTACAAGTCAAAAGACACATTTTATGATCTTCTAAATTACAACCACCCCCTGAGGTATGGTCAAATTACGAAAATCCCCCTCTTGTTTGGGTAATTACAACCACCCCTCAACTATAAATCTTTTTACACGTCCACCCTTGTGGTTTCAAATTTAGTGGAATCTTCGAGATTATATGGAATATTATTACTTTTGTACATGTTTTATCCCATTTTAACTCTACCTTTTGAAGCAAGATGATTATAATATGTATTTTTTTGGCTTGTATATATCAGATTGTAGTGCGTCAGAAACTGTATTTTTACACAAAACGAGTACAAATACAAATTAGAGCACATTCCACGAAATATAGATGATTATGTTGAATTTGACACCATAAGGATAGAGATGTAAGTTAAAAAAAAATCATAGTTGAATGGTAGATATATTATCCAAACACGAGGGGTTTTTTCGTAAATTGGCCATACTTCATGGATGGTTATAATTTACCCCATATATATTAATATTACCTATATCGACTTTTTTTTTTTGTTACAGTTGGAGTCAAGAAATTACCTTTCATGTGAAATTTGTCCAAACATGTGATAATTATTACTAAATTTTGTGCATGTTTGATTTTTTTAGTGCAGCAGTCAAATCGTGTTTGAAGGCGGACGGACAGAAATTTTTAGAATTGTTTTCGGAAAAACTCAACAAACATAGATTCGTTCTACCAAACAGTGCCTTAATGAATTCTGTATCAACTGTATGCATGCATATGAAATAGAAAATTCAATTAGCATCAAAGTTTGACCTGGTAAAAAAAGAAGCTTGACAAATTGCATTAATGGCTGGTTCACTCAAGCATTTTCACAAACACTTTCACAACCCAAAGAGAAGACAAATGAAAACTAAACTCAGCAATGGCTTCTTCTTCTTCCTCCTCCTCTTCTACATCAAGGTACAAGCCCAACGAAGCACAGTAGGGTACAACTGCACACCCAACCAACCCCCAACCTCCTGCGAAACCTACGTCTTCTACAGAGCAACCCCACCATATTTCCTCGACTTAGCCTCCGTCGGCGATCTCTTCTCCGTCAGCCGTCCGATGATATCAAACCCCAGCAACATCTATCTCCGGCGGCCCCTCTCCTCCCCAACCAGTCCACTCCTC